TCAATCTGGGTGCAGGTCCCTGACACGAAGGGGTAACGGCCCCTTCCACCCGACACCCACGGAGGTGAACGGCCTCCGGGCTACGTACGAGTCCTGACCTCTGGTCCGCTCAGACCCCCCGGCCCTGAGAAGGACGTCGTGAGAGGGGATGCCCCCAGGGTCTCACCACCGACCACACTCCACTCAGACCCCCCGGCCCTGAGAAGGACGTGAGAGGGGGGTCCCCCAGGGTCTCACCACCGACCACACTCCACTCAGACCCCCCGGCCCTGAGAAGGGCAGTAGAGCCTGGAGTCCAGGCTCCTAGTCCAGCCCCTTCTTAGCACCGGTGTGACGACTGAGCCGGACCCTTGAGAGGTCCGGCTTGTGTACTGCTCCGTGGCTTGCTCCGCCCTAGACACGCCCTCCCTCCCAAAACTTCCTGGAAGGTGACATCATCCCCCTGCTTCGTGGCTTGCTCCGCCCTAGACACCCCTCCCTTCCAGAACTTTCTGGAAGGTGACATCATCCCCCTGCTCCGTGGCTTGCTCCGCCCTAGACACGCCCTCCCTCCCAGAACTTTCTGGAAGGTGACATCACCCCCCTGCTTCGTGGCTTGCTCCGCCCTAGACACGCCCTCCCTTCCAGAACTTCCTGGAAGGTGACATCATCCCCCTGCTTCGTGGCTTGCTCCGCCCTAGACACGCCCTCCCTTCCAGAACTTTCTGGAAGGTGACATCATCCCCCTGCTCCGTGGCTTGCTCCGCCCTAGACACGCCCTCCCTCCCAGAACTTTCTGGAAGGTGACATCATCCCCCTGCTCCGTGGCTTGCTCCGCCCTAGACACGCCCTCCCTTCCAGAACTTTCTGGAAGGTGACATCATCCCCCTGCTCCGTGGCTTGCTCCGCCCTAGACACCCTCCCTTCCAGAACTTTCTGGAAGGTGACATCATCCCCCTGCTCCGTGGCTTGCTCCGCCCTAGACACGCCCTCCCTTCCAGAACTTTCTGGAAGGTGACATCATCCCCCTGCTCCGTGGCTTGCTCCGCCCTAGACACGCCCTCCCTCCCAGAACTTTCTGGAAGGTGACATCACCCCCCTGCTTCGTGGCTTGCTCCGCCCTAGACACGCCCTCCCTTCCAGAACTTTCTGGAAGGTGACATCATCCCCCGGTCCCCCCTCCCGGGGTCCCCATCCCAGGGATTGTCGTCGACTCCCTGGCGTGGTGGCGCTTCTGCCCCATGTTGACGAGAAGGGGCAGCTACCCGCTAACAAGGGGAGTGCCGATTAACACATTGTCCTGCGGAGGGAGCTGGTAGGAACGTCGGGTTGCTCGGTCAATGGCCTGCAGGGTCAACGGCGGCGTGGTGTATTCCGCAAATATGCCCGACTGTGAGGGCGGGCACAAGCCGGCGTGAGTAGGTGAAACGTTGAGTTTTATAAGGGCACCACGGGGTGACCAGCCCCTCCCCACCCCCCCACCCCATCCACCCCCACCTCGCCCCCCCCACCCACCAGCCACTCCCCACCCAGCCCCACCCCACCCTCCCCACCCAGCCCCACCCCTCCCACCCCCCACCCAGCCCCTCCCCACCCAGCCCCCCCACCCTCCCCACCCAGCCCCCCCCCCCACCCCCACCCAGCCCCTCCCCACCCAGCCCCACCCCTTGTGGATGAGTCTTGCGATTCGGTGAAGCTCTGATGGGGAAATTGAGGGCTCTGTTATTATCAATTATTTTTACACGGGAGACCACACACTCAAAAGTGCAATTAAGTGAAGACAATAGTGACGACGGCGACGATGATGATAACAACAATGATGATGGTGACGACGACGCCAATGACAATAACGACGACGATTATGATAATGGCAGTGGTGATGATTAAAAGATTTTGTATGTGAACCCTGTTCGCTAATCGGACAACCGCTCGTGATGCGGACAATGACGACGACGACGCCGCTGACGATTGACGACAGTGACCGTCGCAACCTCCGCCTTGCCGTTGATCGCTCGCCAGGAGGTGGTGACGCTGGAGCCTTCCGCCGTGACGTTCCTGCTCGAGCGCCTGCAGCCCGACACCGTCTACCGCTTCCAGCTGTCGGCGCGCTCCCGCGCCGGGCTGGGCCCCGCCACCTTCACGGTCACGGAGCGCACCAAGCAGTCAGGTACGCGCCGCGTACCCCCCACGCCTACGGAGGTTTTAATGTTTTTTTTTTCACATCATTGGAATTGTAAAGCTCCCGCTTTGCAGCACGAGTCATTGACTAACTTGCGTTTTTCACCCCCTGGGTTATTCACATCCATGTCGCAGCGGTTTCTGATGTTTCTCCCCATTACCCCCTCGCCCCTGTCACCTCCACCACAATCCCAACCCGACCCACAGCCCCCTCGGCACCCCCACAAAACACGTCGTGCGTCTCCCTGAGCCCCGGCAGCGTGCTGGTCAGCTGGGAGCCGCCGCCCGCACACGGCCGGCACGGCACCATCACGGGCTACACGGTCGCCTACAGGAAGCTGCCGCCCGGCCAAGGCGCGGCGCACGCACCCGACGCAGACGGCTCGGGGAGGGGGGACGACGGGAAGGACGGGGAGGCCGGGAGGACGGCTCGGGAGGCGGCCGAGCGGGGTTGGTGGCTGGCGCCAGACGCCGCTGCAGCCCGCGGAGCGGAGGAGCGTGACGCTGCGCGGGCTGAGCGAGCGGGCCCCGTACGAGGTGACGGTGCGGGCACACACGGCGGTCGGCCCGGGGCCCGCGTCGCCGCCCGTCCAGGCGGGCGCACTCGAGGACGGTGCGTAGCCATGGCTCTTGAGAGTTTTCCCTGCTGGTGCTGGTGCCTTGGCAGCTAATGCTTGTGTCTGGCCCGAGTGCTTCTCCGTCGGCTTTCTGCGCTGCTCTCTCGCGCTCCTCGCGCCGCCGCCGCCGCTCCCGTTCCGTCTTGTGACCTCGACCGCTCAAAAAATTAACCCGTAAAAACGTTTGTCACTATAAATCCTTTATATGCGTGTCTCTCTCTGTCTGTGTCCTCTCTGTCTCTGTCTGTCTGTCTGTGTCTCTCGCTGTCTGTATCTGTCTCACTGTGTCTCTCTGTTTCCCCGTGTCTCTGTCTCCCCATTTCTACCCGTGTCTCCCCGTCTCCTCGTATCTCCCCGTGCCTCCCCAATATCGTAGCCGCCACCACCACCGCCACCACCACCACCTCCCGACCCTCGTCCGTGGTGTCTACGGGAGACGAGGCGACGCTCCCCGCCGGTGGCGGCAGCGCCTCCATCAGCTTCATGGCGGCCATAGCGGTGCTGGCGATCCTCCCCTTCGTGGTGTGCACCGCGTGGGGCACACGGAGCGCCGGCAAACGTGGCGGTGAGTGTTGCGGTGGCGTTGCGGTGGCTATGAGATGTTGATGGTGAGCGTGGCGGTGGCGTTGCGAGGATGTTGACTCCCTCGCTTGGTACTTGGGAGGTCGTGGCTTGGATCCAGACACTGACGACGTCTGCTGCTGCTGTATATTTGGAGTCTGCGAGTCTCTCTCATGATCATCATCATCACGGTGGCTAGGAGATGTTAACTACCTACACAGGAGGTCATGGGTTACATCCCCGCCCCTGACACCTGCTGCTGTATATTTGGAGTTTGCGTGGTCTCTCATCATCATCATCACGGTGGCTGAAAGGTTGCCTATTACGCAGGAGGTCGTGGGTTCGATCCCGACCCTGACACTTCCTGCTGCGTGTCTCTGCGCGTTCAGAGTCATTTGGCTGATGATATTCATTTGCCGCCCGACGACGATGACGACGATGATGATGATGACGACGAGAGCCACCGATTTGAGCCGACACTTGTGATAGCCGCTGTAGCTTCTACTCAAGTTACCGTAGTTGCACGCGGGGGGCTTACCCGTAAGATACAACAAAGTTATTTGTAATCTATGTACTGATTTAATAGATTGTTAACCATTGCTATACTTTGCACGTGCCGACGGCGCGCATGGTGTTTGGTTTGCGTGTCGCGTGTCGTGTTGTTGTCAACGTTCTGCTTGATTTTCCCCTCGTTCCCCAAGTAGACGAGGGAGGAGGAAACGCCCCGAACCTGCTCCCCGAGAAGGATACCCGTCTCCGACTGCAGGTAGCCACTACGTAACAACACCAACAACAACAACAACACCCCATTCGCCACTAAGTGGCGGTGACGTCCCACGATGCCGGTGCCGGCCAAGTGCACCGTGAGGCCACGTGAAGTGTCGAACGCCTGCTGGCAGGAGGTCACGGAGCAGACCCAGGTGCCACGGTCGACTGACCGAGATGACTGGCTAATGCACCACCTGTGCCCCCTACTGTGCCAACTTGCTGTGCTTTAGCCACCCGGCGCTCCGCTCGTTGTTGTGAGCGTCGCTCCTCCTCCGCCCTCCGTTGTTGTTGGAGGGCGACTGCCTCCAACTGCCCAGTAGCGTCCTTCACGAGCCTCCTCCACTGAGGCCGATCTTGACAACCGCTGGTACCAGTCATCGGCAAGTCCACTCAGCTCCACGTCCTCCTGTACCACATCACTCCATCTCTTCTCTAGCCCGTGCCGCGCCCGTCTAGCCCCCTCGATCCGGCCGAACAAAAAGCTGTTTAGGCATGCGGTGGCTGGGCATGGCGGGCTACATGACCCAGCCAACGCAGCCTTGCCTGCCGGAGGAGCTCACTGATGGGACTTTGCCCAGATCTTTCAGGATTTGTGAGCTCCTCACACAATCCAGCCTGGTTAAACCCAGGATGGATCGTAGGCAGGCCAGCCTAAAATGTATTCCAACCGGCGAAGATGCTCCACTAGGGGGGGCCACAACACCACAGACCACCACTACCACCACCACTAACACCACTGCCACCACCACCACCGGCGGTTGAGCAGAAACAATCGTAATTTTAGGAGCTCGCCCCCCCCCCGATGGACACCGCCGGATGAAAGCTGCCCCCCGTGGCGTGGCGGCGACGCCATCCGCCTGCTCCTGCACGATCACGGCGACGGCGTGGTGGCTATGAGATGTTGACCACCTCGCCTGGCACGCAGGAGGTCGTGGCTTCGAGCCCAACCCCTGACGACGACTGCCTCTGGATATTTGGAGTTTGCCGCGTCCGTTTCCCCCCGTGGTCGCGTGACATCTTAAACCACCGTCACGCGAACCTCCCAATTAGAAACGGTTTGTTCTACGGACGGTGCGGAATAACGATTCAACGTGCACACGCGCTCCGCGCCTAGGGCACGCAGCGCGCTCGCGCGCTAGGTACATACGCGCTCGTGTGCTAGGTACGTACGTATCGTCTTCACCTACTTTTCTCCGCTCCTCCAGCTGCTACGTGAGCAATGTGCTGGCCGGGGGGTTCGCCACTATGACGGAGGGCGACGATGGCGACGATTGTCACCGTGGGGATGATTGGAGCTGCTGCACGTGGAGGAGGTGGTGAGGTGGTGGAAGGGGAGAGATTGCCTTCATCGGGCTACAGACACGAGCCCCCAGCAGCCGAGTGAGGCTGTGTGCAGCACAGGCAATGTGTGTGTTTGTGTGCGCAGCGCGTCTAGGCTGCCACTCTAGTAGTAGTGGGGTAAATAAAAACTTCCCGTCAGGCACTGCTGGTCTCCGTTGGTCTTGATTCAGGTCTGTCTCGCCACCACCCCGCTGGTCTCCTTCCCGGAGCAGCGTCGGCTCTATAGCGCGCCCCCGCACGCTCCCTCCAGTGCGCCCCGCACACAGACACGGAGACACACGAGAGAGACACAGACTAGACCCAGAGAGAGACACGGAGAGACACAGAGAGACACATTGAGATAGACATAGACAGAGACACGGAGAGAGACACAGAGAGAGCACGGAGAGAGACACAGAGACACGGAGAGACAGTGAGAGAGGCACAGAGAGACAACGGAGAGACACAGTGCGAGACACAGACACAGAGAGACACAGTGAGAGAGACACAGACAGACACAGAGAGACAGAGAGACGCGGAGAGACATAGTGAGAGAGACAGTGAGAGAGACACAGAGAGAGACGCAGAGACAGAGCGACACGGAGAGAGACACGGAGAGACACAGAGACACAGTGAGAGAGACACGGAGAGACGCAGTGGGAGAGACACAGTGAGAGAGACACGGTGAGACAGAGACAGAGAGACACAGTGAGAGAGACACGGAGAGACACAGTGAGAGAGACAGAGACACCGAGAGAGACACGCAGAGAGACACAGAGACACAGACAGAGCCAGAGAGACAGTGAGAGACACAGAGAGACACGGAGAGACAGTGAGAGAGACAGTGAGAGAGACAGAGAGAGACACAGAGAGACAGAGACACAGAGAGACACAGTGAGAGAGACACGGAGAGACGGAGTGAGAGAGATACGGAGAGACACAGAGAGAGACACAGTGAGAGACACAGTGAGAGACACAGTGAGAGAGACAGACTTTTATAACAATTTTATTCCTCCGGCGTCAATTGCGCTGGAGCATTTTCAATGTATTTGGTACACCCGGCCTTTATGGCCACACAACGCACGCGCCTTTATGGCAGCAAAGCAACAACCCGGCCCACGCGCTGCCACGCAACGCGCAGCGTCGGCACCACATCCACCACACGCCACTCACGCACCATCGCCACCGCCGCACAGTCAGTGTCCGATGTCTGTCTGGGCTTTGACGCCCTTTCGCCTGGCAGGGCCCCTCCTGCTCCTCCACACCCTCCTCTCCTGGTGGGGGGGGGGGGGGGTGGCAGCTTCCTCACTTTGGTCATCATCGCCTTCAACCGGTAGACCTCCTGCCGGTTGAAGCAGTATCTGTGTGGGTCCTTGACCACCGTCCGTGCCACCTTGATGAAAGCCCCCCTGTCGGGGAACCTGTCCCGCACATGAACGTTCCGTGCCCCGTACACCTGCTTCATCCATCGGAGGATGTCACTGGGTGTATACGTTCCTGGCCTACTCCCGTCCCTCCACCCTGCGCGCTTTCGGGGGTACTCCTCCTCGTCCCAATCGTCCTCAGGGTCCTCACGGTCACCCGTCTCATCGGCGCCGGCCTCCCCTGCCGCCTCCGCCGACCCTCCTGGAGCCGGGGTCCTCCCCGGGCTTGAGCCCAATTCTGGGCATCTTCCTCTTCTTGAGTCTCTCAATCACTCCGTCGTCATACATCTTCGGGGTGGGCGGAGGGGTGCCCTTCACCGGCACGAAACCGCTCGGCACACCGTTGTCATCGGTGTCGGCCCACCCACCGATGGCGATGAGGGCAGCGCCACCTCTCACGTCGGCGCAGGTCTCCTCTTCCGTCTCTGCCGCCGGGGCCTCGCTGGGCACGCTCCCGCGCGCAGGCAGCCCACTGCCCCCAGGGTCCATGTTCACCTCCTCCCCCTCCCCCGGGATGGACGAAGAGGTGCTCCCCGGAGCCTCAACGCCACCCGGCACAGCCACGGCGCCGGTGGCGGTCGTCGGCTGTTCCTCTCCCTGCGTTGGAGGGGGGGAGGCCGGGCCCGGAGGTCGCGCTCCCGGCTCGGTCGTCTCCGCCAGGGGTGCGTCACCCGTGACCTCCGTGGCCTTCCCCCCCCCCCCCCCCTCCACAGGGCAGCCGGCTGGCTGGATACCGTCGCCAGCTGTTTCGGCCGTCTTCATGGGCTGGGCGCTCTCGCGCCTGCCCATCCTCCTCTTTCCGCGCCCCTCCGACGACGGTGAACGCTCCACCGTCATCGTCAGCGGGCTCCTTCTCTGGTGCTGGCTCTCCGCGCTCCGGCACCATCTTGCTGCTGCTGCCCCTGCTGCTACTGCTGCTCACGATGCTCCCGCTGCTGCTGCTGTTGCGGCTGCAGCGTCGGCGTCGTCTCCTCCACCCAACCTCGTCTTGGTGGAGCGGTACTTTTTAACATGTCCCACGCCGCCACACCCGTAGCAGCGTGGTGCGGTTGTAGCCAAGTACACCGTGTGGACGCGGCCACCAGCGGTGCGCTTGATGGCCACGTCCAGCTCGTTGCGTACACCTTTTAAGATGAGGAGCACCTGCCGTTTGCCGGACATGAGGTGCCGCATGGCCGGGTTCCGCGTTCTCATGGGCAGCAGGCTGATGCTGGAGGCCACCGTGCCGAAGCGTTGCAGCTCTCCCACCAGCTCCTCGTTTTTCATGTATGGCGGGGCGCCTGTGATGGTGACTCGTACCGTCGGTGCCGTGAGAGGGGTGCACTGCACGAGCAGCCCCCCCTCCCCTCTGACGCTGAGCCCCCTCCACCACGCGCGCCACCGTGGGCCACGTACACCACTCTGTCGATCTACACCATCCACCTATATCGGTATCTCACGCCCATTGTATGTGTAGTGAGTTCAGGGAGACGACGACGGAGTTGAGGCACACTCTTTTTATTAACGCAGGGACAGACACAATAGTTGAAGGGGTAACGGCCCCTTCACCCGTACTATGTGGGAAACCACCCCTAGTACTAAGCCCTCTGTCCTGCTCCGCAGTCCTCCTCTAATGGGCTACGGGAGGCTGTCTGATCCGGCCCTGGTAAGCAGAGATCTCGGCACCAGCTAAGCCGGCCCTGCCCTTACAAGGGCAGAGGTCCGGGAGCTCTTGGGCCGCGCCGCTGGCTTGCCCAGCTCGGCCCTGACAAGGGCAGCGAGACAGGGGAGTCCCAGGGCCTAATCTCAGAGTCTTCAGTCTTCACTGGTCAGCTTCGTGTCGAACTGGCCCCGAGCTCTCTGGCTCCCCGCCTTTTATAGAGATCCCCTCGGAGGGGCGGGGTTATGGGGGATCACAGAGCCCCCATGGCCCCCCAGTGGTTAACGGATGCGGACGTCGGTGTGGCCACCCGTGTGTGCGGGTGCAGACACCCCTGTGTTTCTCGTCCGCCTTTTCTCCCGTAATAACCCCTACACAGGCAACGAGCTGAGATTAGGAGCAAACTCTTAAAGGGAGTGCTCCTAATCTCAGCTTGTTACAATGAGGGAAAAAAGCATTTGATCCCCTGCTGATTTTGTACGTTTGCCTGCTGACAAAGAAATGATCAGTCTATAATTTTAATGGTGGGTTTATTTGAACAGTAAAAGACAGAATAACAGCAACAAAATCCAGAAAAAACGCATGCCAAAAATGTTATAAATTGATTTGCATTTTAATTGTCTCCACGCATGCACCACTGTCTCTATCTCTAATCACCCTGTCCCTATACCACTACACACTGTTCTTCACGACTATACAGTAGTACCGTACACCCACGCAGTTACATTGAACACGTATTTCTTTAGAACTGCTTTCCGTGAACCTTAGGTCAATGTCACCACCACCGTCAATGTCACTACCACCACCACCGTCAATGTCACTACCACCACCACCGTCAATGTCACTACCACCACCACCATCAATGTCACCACCACCACCACCAGTCATGTCCTACCACCACCCCGTCAATGTCACTACCACCACCACCACCGTCAATGTCACTACCACCACCACCGTCAATGTCACTACCACCACCACCATCAATGTCACCACCACCACCATCAATGTCACCACCACCACCGTCATGTCACTACACCACCACCAGTCATGTCACCTACCACCACCACCAGTCAATGTCACCACCACCACCGTCAATGTCCTACCACCACCACCACCACCGTCAATGTCACCTACCACCACCGTCAATGTCACTACCACCACCACCATCAATGTCACCACCACCACCACCGTCAATGTCACTACCACCACCACCATCAATGTCACCACCACCACCACCGTCAATGTCACTACCACCACCACCACCACTCAATGTGACTACCACCACCACCATCAATGTCACCACCACCACCGTCAATGTCACTACCACCACCACCACCGTCAATGTCACCACCACCACCACCGTCAATGTCACCACCACCACCACCGTCAATGTCACTACCACCACCACCATCAATGTGACTACCACCACCATCACCATCATCACTACCAGTCACCACCACCACCGTCATCGTCACTACCAACCGCCATGTGCTAACAGGTGGCAGTGACGTCACGACGGCTCTTGTGATGGCGTCCGGGGATGGAATTCCTTTCCAGCCCAGAGGCTGCCTGCCCTGCGCCACGTATACAAACCCTCGTTGTGACAGGTCTCTCTAGGCTGGCTCAGCAGTTCAACTGCTGTGTTTTATCGCTCTCTCTCCAATGTCGGCAAGAAGCGCGCGGAGATTTTCCACCTCGTGACGTCAACGGCGATCGCAAAGTTGCGATTTAAAAAAAATCTCGTGGTCAGAACGACGACCGGTTCCGCGCGTCCGTTTCGGCACCGCCTCTGCTGCTGCTGTTCCCTTCCCAGTCACGGCGGAGAAGCAGTGCGGCTGCCAGGAGCAACTCCGCTGGAACGCCGACTGCAAGCTGTGCCCTTGGACCGTCGATCAATTCTTGTGCAAGTAGCCTCAAGACGCTGTCGAGGGATGGCCTCGGCTGAAATCCCGATTCCATTTGGTTTCAGCCGGGTCCTGTGGGTGTGTTTGGTGACCCCCCCACAAAGTTTGTTTGGGGCACCGGTATCATAGCATCCAGCATGCGCATGACTACGTGACACGATACATTACACGACTACAAACACTACACTTTGATACACTACACCTTGATACACTACCCTGCTATGCACTTGTCAACATCCGCATGTGGTGAATTTCCACAATGCAGAAACGCTGTTGCTTTTTGACCGTCGCCACTTGATTGCGGTTAGCAACTCAGTGGCGTTGTTGTTGTTGTTCCTTTCTACTCCGTTCTTGTTGACGCCGCGTTTGGCAATTCTACGAAACGTTCACTGAGCACAGTGAGGATGGACAATGCAGAGTGGTGTGTGTGAGTGTGTGAGTGAGTGAGTGTGTGAGTGTGAGTGAGTGTGTGAATGAGTGTGTGAGTGTGTGTGTGAGTGTGTGAGTGTGTGGGCACAGTGAGGATGGACAATGCAGAGCGGTGACCCCTACACAAGTGAGTTAGCGAGCCGCCCCTGCAGCATCCGTCATCATACCCTTCACTGAGCCGCGTGACGCTCTATACACTTTACACTTGAATACAATCTTGCAGAAAAAAGTCATTTTCTGTGTGTCTATCTCTGTGTGTGTGGACGTCGGGGATGCCTTCCTGAGTATGGAAACGGCGTTATACCGAAGCGATTGATAGTGTGGTGGTGGTGGTAGTAGGTGAGGTTTTCGTCGAGGATGCGTTCCTGAGTATGGAAACGGTGTTATACCGAAGCGATTGATAGTGTGGTGGTGGTGGTAGTAGGTGGTGATGGTGGTGGAGGCGAAGGGGCTGAGAGGGTGGCGGTGTTAATCACGTGACCACGTCATTTGCGAATTGACGTTAAATCGGAGTAACGCTGCATTTTCTGTGTTTTTTGGAGTTTGCCGTGTGCGTTTTGGGTCTCGATTAAGTCGGCTGTGGTGTTCACGATGGCGAATAGCGGTGCACTAGTTCCGCATCGATTGTTAATGATCACCAGGGGCGGGAGGAGTGGGCGTCCTCATGGATCCCGTACCGCTCTCCAGCACGCCTTATCCCACTGGAACAGTTTCATTATCGATCAACTAGAATCTTTCGATTTAAAGCTTCTTTGGTGACTGCAGGGATTCATCTTCTTGGTTCTTTCGGTAAAGTCACGTAGAAGAGAAATAATAAAATAATACAAATAAAACAATATAATTCTCACGACGTTTCGGCCACAACGCAAGCAGCCGTCCTCAGATGAAGAACAGGTCTGTCGGAAAGACAGCATCTGAATGAAACACCACCAGGCTTGGCAGCGTATATTTAAGCCGGGATGGAGGGGGGAAGAGCGCCTTGACAAAATAATTTGCATATCAAGAGGAATTTAGCATATTTATGGGAAATGCAGATATGGGATTAGTACCACTTGTGAAATGCGTAGGAGGTGGGCGGGAGGTCTCAAAGTCATATTATGCCCGTGCATTATGCAGGATTAGCAGCATCAGAATCGTGCAACATTCGCGAGTTTCCTCTCCGTCTGTCCACGCGCGTGATGCCTCCCCAATTCGGTACTTCGGACGACGGTGAAAAACCCCACAAATGGGTGCGGAGTGATGATGATGATTGATGACGATGGTGGTGGTGGTGGTGATGACGATGATGATGGTGATGATGACGGTGATGATGACGATGATGATGACGATGATGATGATGGTGACGATGATGATGATGACGATGGTGATGATGACGATGATGATGACGATGATGATGATTGATGACGATGATGATGATGGTGGTGGTGATGATGGTGATGATGGTGATGATGGTGATGATGATGGTGATGATGATGGTGATGACGATGATGATGATAGTTTAATGATCCAGGAGGCTGCGCGGTGTCACGGAGACTCTCCACTCAGTAGGGCCCTTCCACATTCGGGGTTTTTGATTTATGTTTCATCGCAGGATATTGTCAGCCAATGAGTAAGTTGCGTGTACCGCAAGGGTAGGAGGAAATCTGAACATCTCGGAGAAAAGCCGCTCCTTGCACGAGGGGGAAACACTGGCACAAGCGTCGTGGTGACGTCACCGCCACTTAGTGGCGAATGGCGGTTGTTGTGTTGGGTGTGGGGGTGTGTGTGTGGGGGTGTGTGTGAGTGTGGGGGGTGTGTGTGAGTGTGGGGGGGTGTGTGTGAGTGTGGGGGGGTGTGTGGGAGTGTGTGAGTGTGGGAGTGTGTGTGGGAGTGTGTGAGTGTGTGTGGGGGTGTGTGACTGTGTAACTGTATGGGTGTGAGAGTGAGTGTGTGGGTGTGTGCGAGTGTGTGGGTGGGGAGCGGTAGTGTAGTGGTTAGCGCGCTGCGCTATGAACCCGGCGGCACGAGTTCGATTCCCATTCACGGCTAACACCAGTGACGATTATCTGAACCGGTTCCCGGGCCTCAGCCTCAAATGAGTACCTGGTGCGGTGTGTAAACATCGCCACTGGGGAGACAAAGGCGGTAGGGCGTGGTGCTGGCCACCCACCCCCTCGTGTGCCGTTCTGGCCTTCATAGGTGCTCGCTAACAGCACTTGCCCCTACAGTCTGTTAAAGGCTATACGGGGGTTCTTAGTTCTTTGTGTGGGGGTGTGAGTGTGTGAGTGTGTGGGGGTGAGTGTATGTGTGCATGTGTGTGTGTGTGTGCGACCCACTCCCCGTGCCGACCAATCGGATGGAGCATCTGGCTGCCTGAACATCGTCACACGGCGAAGGTCTCCGACACTCGTCCTGTTCTCTCTTCGCGTCTGTTCATCGGCGGCTGCGCGTCCACGTCCCTGTCCCTACGCACGTTCTGCATTCCCAGCGCCACTGTCGAAAGAAGGACAAACAGAAGGTTCATCTTCTTGGTTCTTTGGGTAAAGTCATCACGTAGAAGGGAAATAATGAAATAATAAAAATAAAACAAAGTCGCGTAGAAGGGAAATAATGAAATAATAAAAATAAAACAAAGTCGCGTAGAAGGGAAATAATGAAATAATATTAATATAAAACAATAACAATTCTCACGACGTTTCGCCTGCAACACAAGCAATCGTCATCAGGTGTGAAATCCACAGCAAGAAAGAGTGGCGGTTTGTCGTGACGTCAGCACCACGGACAGCGATTTGGCAGTTGGCCAGATGGACGAGTCCAACTCTGTTCGGGTCTTCACGCTCACGTGACTTGCAGACGCAGCCCGTTGTCTGCTGCCCCCTCCTCTTCTCCCCGAACAGAGATGGACTCGTCCATCTGGCCAACTGCCAAATCGCTGTCCGTGGTCCTGACGTCACGACAAACCGTCACTTTTTTTAAAATTTTCTTGCTGTGGATTTCACACCTGACGACGATTGCTTGTGTTGCAGTCGAAACGTCGTGAGAATTTTTTATTGTTTTATATTTTTATTATTTCATTATTCCCATCTACGTGATGATTTTACCGAATTCAAGTTTCTAGAATCAACCCACCTGCGCCTGCAACATGGCTTCATCCCAGAGGTCGCAATCAGGTACCCGAAACCCGTACCCTACCCGTAACCGGCCGGGTACGGGTAGGGTACGGGTACGGGTACCCGTTTGCGACCCTGGTGCGGCCGGGTACGGGTAAGGAATCAAAACCCGTTTGCGAGCTCTGGCGTGAACGTGAGACCATCGTCAGTGACACACCGAGTGTGGGGCCACGGAGAGAGAGAGCTCCGGCCGGCTACCCACGTCAATGCTCATTCACCAGGGGGGGCCGGGCGATCCGGCTGCCCGGGCCCTGAAGGCCGACGGCGTCTCCTCCTCCTCCTCCTCCTCGTGTTGTTCCCCTTGCAGACGGAGACGACGTAGACCACGACAGCCACAGGCGCCAGCACCCCGGCCACCAGCAGCCCTGCCCTGTGCGGCGGCGTCTCCCCTGGAGGGGCGGCGGTGGCCTCGCTCAGAGCCCCGCCGTGTGGCCGCCGTGGGGCTGCAGAGACACGGAGACGGGGGGGGGGGGGGGGGCTCAGGGTGACCCCCACTCGCACCCTGCACCACCACCTCAAGCGGCGACTCGACACGGCTTCACGTGCAGCAGGGAGAGACACTCACTCAACACGGCTTCACGTGCAGCAGGGAGAGACACTCACTCAACACGGCTTCACGTGCAGCAGGGAGAGACACTCACTCAACACGGCTTCACGTGCAGCAGGGAGAGACACTCACTCAACACGGCTTCACGTGCAACAGGGAGAGACACTCACTCAACACGGCTTCACGTGCAACAGGGAGAGACCACCCATTCAACACGGCTTCACATGCAACAGGGAGAGACACTCACTCAACACGGCTTCACGTGCAGTAGGGAGAGACCTCTCACTCGGGATTGACATCGTATCGAAATTGCGAAGAGTCGCGTCGCCGCGCGGCGAGCGTGGCCGTGTCAGCCACGGCGCAACCGGCGCCGCGAGCTCCGCGCTCGGCTCACCCGCAGCCGTCACGTCCTGCAGCTGCAGCAGCAGCTCCGCTTGCACGGCGGCGTTCCCCGCGGCGTCACAGCGGCGGCAGTCGACGCGGCACAGGGCGACGGGGCCGAGGCTCCCGGGGAAGTTGGGGATGCCGACGGAGCAGTCTCCCGCGAGCACGTCTCCCGCGGACTTGGCGACGCTCGAGTCGTCCGCCGTCTCGTCGCCCGAGAAGTAGATCTGCCAACGACACCGAGCGCGACGTGGGACGGTCGAGCGCGATCGCACGCGATGCCCGCCGTCGAATCGTCGTGAGCTGAGCCGGGCTCGGTGAGCTCGGTTAACTCCCTACACGGGAGAGCTCTTGGGCGATGGCAAAATATGAACGTTGAGTTTGCGTCGAGTTCTTGGTTCTTTCGGTAAAGTCGTCACGTAGAATGGAAATAATAAAAATAAAACATAATAAAATAATTCTCAGGACGTTTCGGCCACAACGCAAGCAGCCATCCTCAGGTGAAGAACAGGTCTGTCGGAAAGACAGCGTCTGTTGCATTCATCTTCTTGGTTCTTTTGGTAAAGTCACGTAGAATGGAAATAATAAAGAACAGGTCTCCACCTGAGGACGGCTGGTTGCGTTGTGGCCGAAACGTCGTGAGAATTGCATTTTATTATGTTTTATTTTTATTACTTTATTACTTCCGTTCTACGTGGTGACTTTACCCAAAGAACCAAGAAGATGAATCCCTGCAGTCACGAAATCAGCTTTAAATCTTAAGACAATCACTAGTCACGACTGACGTGAAATGCGAGCCCCACCAAGGTCATGTCTCCACTGGTGACGTTCTCTGCGTAGCGTCTGGGCATCGTGAACCACTGGACGACGACGTGGTCCAGGTGTGTGGCCAGTGGGGAGAAGGAGCAGGGGAGAGTGACGTTCTCTCCCTCCCTCACAGACAGACTCTTCGGGAGAGTGAGCTGGAGCTTGACAGCCAACGCCGCATCTGCAGAGAGACCGGTCACGCTCGTTACGCATACACCTTGTTGACCATGCAAAACAGATTTAACTACGCATCAAAACGCTATACCACAGAGCTCATGGCATTTCTGACCAACACCACCTGGCCAGTGAATTGAGACATGTACATCGGGCCCTCAGGACGAACGGATACTCTGACCGCACCATCCGCCAAGCTGTTTCTCCCACCATACAGAAACAGCCACTTGAAACTCCGATCAAAACCATCACGTTGCCATACATAGCAGGCGTGACCAAAAAGATCTCCAAAATTCTAAACAAACATAAGATCCAAGTCCGATTCAGTACAGTACATAACATCCGTGATCTAATTCCATCTGTGAAAGATGTCATTCCTGACTTACAATACCCTGGAGTCTACAAACTGAGTTGCAGTGGTGGTGATTGCTAGATTGGAGAAACGAAACGCCATGTCTCTGATCGTGTCCGCGAGCACAAGTCAGATCTGAAACACGGCAGAACTGATTCTTCCGCCGTTGCCGATCATTGCTACAACGCTGTGGGCTCTCATGAAATTGTCTTTTCCGAGACCAAGGTGCTCTGCAAACCTCCTGGCTACCATCAAGGGTTTTTACACGAAGCCATCCAAATATACAAACACAGACATAATTTCAACCGTGATGATGGGTACAAACTGAGAAATCATTGGAAAGATGTTATTGACCATGCGAAAAAGATTTAACTACACATATTTGGACCATCTTATTTGACAGACAACTATTCCTTAGTTACCGTACAGTTCACTGATAGACAGCCACTGGCACGCCCAGGGCGGTGTCACAGGGGTCGCATCGCCGTGAGCTCCTCGTCGTCCTCACGGTGGGAGATTTAAAAACAACTATGACAATTAGCAGGTGAAATGTGACCCTTTTAATCAAAAGTTACCTGGCCACAAATGCGGAAATTTATCGCAGAAAAGTCATCGGAATGCACGTCGACTCGAAATGTGGAGGAAAAAACAGAGGACCCGGAGACAAATCCACGCGGCCACAGGGACAGACTCGCAAACTCCAAATATACAGCAGCAGGCATCAGGGTCGGGATTGAACCCACGACCTCCTGTACACCAGGCGAGGTAGTTAACATCTCCTAGCCCCCGTGATGATGATGAGAGAGACACCGCAAACTCCAAATATACAGCAGCAGGCATCAGGCTCGGAATTGAACCCACGATCTCCTGTACACCAGGCGAGGTAGTTAACATCTCCTAGCCACCGTGATGATGACGATGAGAGAGGGAGACTCGCAAACTCCAAATATACAGCAGCAGCAGGCATCAGGCTCGGAATTGAACCCACGACCTCCTGTACACCAGGCGAGGTAGTTAACATCTCCTAGCCACCGTGATGATGACGATGAGAGAGAGAGACACGCAAACTCCCAATATACAGCAGCAGGCGTCAGGGTCGTGATCGAACCCACGACCTCCTGCATTCAAGGCGAGGCAGATCGCAGTGACCTCTCACCTAGCTAACGAAAGGGCACCGTCCAATGTGTGCTGGGTGAGTGTCTCTGGGTGTGAACTCACCCAGAAGGAGGAAGACGAACAGTGAGATGAGGACCGGCTTCATGGCCGGCTCTGTCTGCTGATGATCGCAAAAGAGAACGAGCCATTAGTCCATCTCACGGCCGCACTCCAACGGTTCACACTCCCTCACTTTCACATCACTCCGCTTCAACATCTTTCCATTCGTGACATCGGCGATGAGTTTCATCTTTTTGCATTCGGTTTTCCCATCTGCTATAATATAAATGCACGCTTAATTTCTACACGCCAGAGGTCGATACCCGGCTACCCGTACCCGGCCGGGATTTCATTTATACCTGATGATGATTGCTTGTGTTGCAATCGAAACGTCGTATGCTTGTATTAAATGTATTATTTTATCTTTACACGTGACTTTACCGAAAGAACCACCAAAGAGTAATTCCTGCAGTCACGAAAGCTCCAAATTAAGTTTGAATGTTTGCGTGTCGTTAAACCGACCATCAGCCGACACAGCCAGTTGGCAAGGTTTATCACGCGAACACACCGTGCCAATCTGTCACTGGAGCAGCACTAACCGGTTGTGTGTTGGAGTGTCTGTGTGTGTGTGTACACACGTACACACACACAGTGTGTACGTGTGTACACTGTGTGTGTACGTGTGTACACTGTGTGTGTGTCTGTGTGTGTACACTGTGTGTGTGTACACTGTGTGTGTGTGTACACTGTGTGTGTGTACACTGTGTGTGTGTATACACTGTGTGTGTCTGTGTGTGTGTGTACACTGTGTGTACACTGTGTGTCTGTGTACACTGTGTGTGTGTACACTGTGTGTGTGTCTGTGTGTGTGTGTACACTGTGTGTGTGTATACACTGTGTGTCTGTGTGTGTCTGTGTGTGTGTGTACACTGTGTGTGTGTGTACACTGTGTCTGTGTGTACACTGTGTGTCTCTGTGTGTACACTGTGTGTGTCTGTGTGTGTGTACACTGTGTGTGTGTGTACACTGTGTGTGTACACTGTGTGTGTGTACACTGTGTGTGTCTGTGTGTGTGTATACACTGTGTGTCTGTGTGTGTCTGTGTGTGTGTGTACCACTGTGTGTGTGTGTACACTGTGTGTCTGTGTGTACACTGTGTGTCCGTGTGTGTACACTGTGTGTGTGTCTGTGTGTGTACACTGTGTGTGTGTATACACTGTGTGTCTGTGTGTGTGTCTGTGTGTGTGTATACACTGTGTGTGTGTGTACACTGTGTGTGTACACTGTGTGTGTACCTGTGTCTGTGTGTGTGTACACTGTGTGTGTGTATACACTGTGTGTCTGTGTGTGTGTCTGTGTGTGTGTATACACTGTGTGTGTGTGTACACTGTGTGTACACTGTGTGTGTATACTGTGTGTCTGTGTGTGTGTGTGTACACTGTGTGTGTATACACTGTGTGTCTGTGTGTGTGTGTACACTGTGTGTGTGTACACTGTGTGTGTGTGTACACTGTGTGTGTGTTACACTGTGGTGGTACATGTGTGTGTGTGTACAATGTGTGTGTGTACAATGTGTGTGTGTGTGTACACTGTGTGTGTGTGTGTACACTGTGTGTGTGTTCAGCACGCCCGGCGGACCCGTTATTCGATCCCGACTCCTGCCGGGGGAGGCGCTCCGGGCGCGGCGGGTCCGCTAGGAAAACTCGGGATGGCCCGAGGCCGACTAGGCCGCAGTCTTCCCTCCCCTCTGTTCTAGATGGTGACGGTGTTGCTGATGTTGTTGTTGATGTTGCTGATGCTTGATGTGATGTTGTTGATGATGTTGTTGTTGATGTTGTTGATGTTGTTGTTGATGTTGCTGTTGTTGTTGTTGCTGATGTTGTTGTTGATGCTGATGTTGTTGTTGATGCTGATGATGATGTTGATGCTGATGTTGTTGTTGATGCTGCTGATGATGTTGTTGATGCTGATTGCTGATTATGTTGTTGTTGATGATAATGTTGTTGATGCTGATGATGTTGTTGATGCTGCTTCTGATGATGTTGATGATATTGCTGCTGATGCTAGGGGTGGTGATGATGTTGCTGATGATGGTGTAGATGATGTTATTAATGATGTTGCTGATGCTGATGATGTTGTTGATGCTGATGATGTTGTTGTATATGATGGTGTAAATGATGTTTATTGATAATGTTGATGATCGCAAACATCAACATAATTTATTAATTTATTCAGTTAGGGTAGCCTCTCATTGTGGGAGGGGAGAGTCTTGTACCCCAGAAAGTGACGTCATGTCATCTGCTGCCGCGTGACGTCATGTCATCTGCTGCCGCGTGACGTCATGTCATCTGCTGCCGCGTGACGTCACGAGCTAACAGGAAGCTGGAGGTCCGCGCGTGAACTGCAATCCGAGGTGAGAAATTTTCATTGCGGTTGTTGTTGTGGTTGTGGTTGTTGTGGTTGTTGTTGTTGTTTACCAAGCTAGAGCATCGCTCTCTCTCTCGTAGGGATGTCACTAGAGCAGCAGCAGCTTGTGAATCGATGTCCAAGTTGGAACTTTACAACGCGGGGCCTAGACACGCGGGGCCTTGCCTCCTGCCCTCGCCTGGTCGCGTTTGCTTTAATTCCCTCCCTTAAGTTTAATTTGTCTTCACGCGGCTCGCTACTTTGTCACTTTGGTTTATTGTAGATATAACGCAGTTTTTTTTGTTTTTTTTTTACCAGCCCAAGCCCGCTTGAGCTGCTGTACCGCTCTAGTTTACAGAAGCTACCTGCCCACAACAACAACAAGGTATGGGGGGTTTTGTCAACGCGTGTCTAGTGTTTTGACTTAAAACTTTAGTAACTGCAGCAATTCATATTCTTGGTTCTTTCGGTGAAGTCACGGAGATAGAAAATTTATAAAAATAACAGATAATAAAATGAATAAAAGTAAACAAAATTGTAAATAATAAAAAACCCACGACGTTTCTATCACAACACAAGTGGCATTTATTTGATGTTATCTGTTGTTATTGTCTATCTACGTGACTTTACCGAAAGAACCAAGAATACGTGTGGAAATGTGTATCGGTCAAAGAGGCTAAACACGTGCTGATGTTGACTCTAAATGTGGAGGGGAAACCCGGGAGATTCGGAGGAAAATCCACGCGACCACGGAGAGAGAGACACGCAAACTCCAAATATACAGCAGCAGGCGTCAGGGTCAGGATCGAACCCACGACTTCTGTATACCAGGCGAGGTAGTCAACATCTCACCACGGAGAGTGAGACTCGCAAACTCCAAATATACAGCAGCAGCAGGCGTCAGGGTCGGGATCGAACCCACGACTTCCTGTATACCAGGCGAGGTAGTTAACATCTCACCACGGAGAGAAGAGAGAGACACGCAAACTCCAAATATACAGCAGCAGCAGCGTCAGGGTCGGGATCGAACCCACGACTTCCTGTATACCAGGCGAGGTAGTTAACATCTCACCACGGAGAGAGAGAGAGACACGCAAACTCCAAATATACAGCAGCAGGCGTCAGGGTCGGGATCGAACCCACGACTTCCTGTATACCAGGCGAGGTAGTTAACATCTCACCACGGAGAGAGAGAGAGACACGCAAACTCCAAATATACAGCAGCAGGCGTCAGGGTCGGGATCGAACCCACGACTTCCTGTATACCAGGTGAGGTAGTCAACATCTCACCACGGAGAGAGAGAGACACGCAAACTCCAAATATACAGCAGCAGCAGGCGTCAGGGTCGGGATCGAACCCACGACTTCCTGTATACCAGGCGAGGTAGTCAACATCTCACCACGGAGAGAGCGACACGCAAACTCCAAATATACAGCAGCAGGCGTCAGGGTCGGGATCGAACCCACGACTTCCTGTATACCAGGCGAGGTAGTTAACATCTCAACACGGAGAGAGAGAGAGACACGCAAACTCCAAATATACAGCAGCAGCGGCAGGGTCGGGATCGAACGCACGACTTCCTGTATACCAGGCGAGGTAGTTAACATCTCACCACGGAGAGAGAGAGAGAGACACGCAAACTCCAAATACAGCAGCAGTCGTCAGGGTCGGGATCGAACCCACGACTTCCTGTATACCAGGTGAGGTAGTTAACATCTCACCACGGAGAGAGAGACACGCAAACTCCAAATATACAGCAGCAGTCGTCAGGGTCGGGATCGAACCCACGACTTCCTGTATACCAGGCGAGGTAGTTAACATCTCACCACGGAGAGAGAGATAGAGAGAGACACGCAAACTCCAAATATACAGCAGCAGGCGTCAGGGTCGGGATCGAACCCACGACTTCCTGTATACCAGGTGAGGTAGTTAACATCTCACCACGGAGAGAGAGAGACAGGCAAACCCCAAATATACAGCAGCAGGCGTCAGGGTCGGGATCGAACCCACGACTTCCTGTAAACCAGGTGAGGTAGTTAACATCTTACCACGGAGAGTGGACACGCAAACTCCAAATACAGCAGCAGGCGTCAGGGTCGGGATCGAACCCACGACTTCCTGTATACCAGGTGAGGTAGTTAACGTCTCACCACGGAGATACGAGGGCTTCCAGGCATATTTATGACCATTTGCCCTCTCATTGTGTGCAATAACAGCCCGTGTGATGAATTTGGGAAACTTTTTCACATCATGAATATATGAATAAGTATAGACGTGTAAGTCACGTGTGACTTTGTTTTTGCATTCATCTGTGCCTCGATACTGTCGTGTAGGTGGTGTGCATATTATTTTTTTCTGTCTACAGCTTACGTTTGGGTCTGATGGAGCAAAGGCAGTCAGCACAGCTCGGTACGGCAAGGCAACAATGCGACCAGCGTGGATACAGCATGGAGCGGACTGGAAATTTGACACAGCACCAGAGAGCACACACAGGAGAGAAACCCTTCAAGTGCAGTGTGTGTGCGAAGGCATTTGCATGGCCATCTGCTCTTCAGATCCACCAGAGAACACACACGGGAGAGAAACCCTTCAAGTGCAGTGTGTGTGGGAAGGCATTTTCACAGTCATATAATCTTAAACAACACCAGAGAACACACACAGGAGAGAAACCTTTCAAGTGCAGTGTGTGTGGGAAGGCATTTTTACGGCCATCTGCTCTTAAAAGACACCAGAGAACACACATGGGAGAGAAACCCTTCAAGTGCAGTGTGTGTGGAAAGGTGTTTTCTGTTTTATGTCATCTCGTAATACACCAGAGAACACACACGGGAGAGAACCCTTCAAGTGCAGTGTGTGTGGGAAGGCATTTGCACAGTCATCTGCCTCTTGTAATACACCAGAGAACACACACGGGAGAGAAAACCCTTCAAGTGCAGTGTTGTGGGAAGGCATTTGCACAGCATCTGCTCTTGTAATACACCAGAGAACTCACACGGGAGAGAAACCCTTCAAGTGCAGTGTGTGTGGAAGGCGTTTGCACAGTCACCAAATCTTAGAGTACACCAGAGAACACACATGTGAGAGAAATCCTTCAGGTGCAACCTGCAGGAAGGCGTTTGCACGGTCATCAAATCTTCAAGTACACCAGAGAATCACACAAGCATCAGAAGGATCCACCAGGAGTGGAGTCTGAAATCAGCTTGTGCAAGTCAAAGTGCTGCAATGAGCCCATCCTGTCATCAAACAAGAACGGAAGAAAATCCCAGCTTGGACACTTTTAAAGGTATCGAGGTGAAATATGAAGAGGTGAAGGTGGAATGTGAAGAAGTGATGGTGAGAGCGAAGAAGTGAAGGTAAAATGTGAAGATGAAGATTCAACTCCAAATGTGACCTTCACATCGATGGAGGCAACGTGAAGCAGGAGGAGAATTCTGACTGTGAGGCAGAGCGAGGCAACTCCCAGCAGTTTGTGGAAGTGGAGGTGTGGGTGGACTTCCTCCGAGACAACACGAAGTCAAATGGAGACCCGGTAGATGTATAAGCCAGTGACGATGCCGCTCCAATAGATTGCACCCTTGTCACAGGCCTTTAATGACAAGAATGTGAAGTTGAACACTCAGTTCCTAGGTCAACCTGCAGGGTAAGAGCGGCCAGTCTTTGTGGACCTGTGTGTTGGGTAGATCTCTAACCAGGAGCGAGAGCCAATAAGCTCCCAAGCATTCACTCTGTTCTCATCATAATTGCATTTATATGGTGCTTGCTTAATCGCCTCTGCAACTCTGAGTTTTGCATCGTATCTCGTCTCAAACACTCGAAACATCCCCAAGTGGCAAGCTGCCCCTGTGTGGCACAAGGTGGTGGCCCTGCACCGGCCTGCGTGTGGACAAGAGCCTGTCGGGGGGGCGATGGTTGATGTGGCATCTCAGTTGTGGAGTTTGTAGGTAATGTTTAGAATTTGCTACATTTTTGACCCAGACGCCAACATGCAATGGCCCTACTCGTTTTGAATTGCAACAATTGTGTGTTTCACATCCACTGTTCAGTAGAGGGTGCATTCTTTAAATAGCTCCTTGTTAATAAGATGTATCTAAACTAAATTGTTCAATTTTGGAAGAAACGTAATCAACCAGGTAGGGTGTTGACTGTTGTGTTGGCGACTCTGTGTTGTGTTGAATTGTATTTCTAAGTTCACTATGTTTGTTTTCTCATTCACTTGTTGTACCTGACGATGGTTGCTTGTGTTCCAATCGAAACGTCGTTTTCTATTAAATTTCGTTCTACATGACTTTACTGAAAAACCAGAGAATAAGAGTTATCTGATGCAGTATATTTCACTGCACTAATTCAATGTTGTGCATATGCCTG